CTTCATTCGGCATCATCCACATAATCGAATTGCTTAAATGACTTTTGTGTTTTCATACCTGTCCTGTGTTTATTCGAGAATACTTGAACTATAATTGCCCCTTGTGTTTAAATGAAAAGATATACATGTATATATCATACACTTTTACTTCCAAAACTATACGCGCTTCCGCAAATTAAATCGCACGCGCATGGTTTTTGTCACAATAAGACACAAAATTTAGACATGAAAGAAGGCCTTTTTTATTTTAAGGCAGTGGTAGGCGAAGGTCAATGTAAACTTTCAATTTGACAAAGTGACCAAGTTCATGTTTGATAATAGCGGAATGTTTTTATGTGTCATTATCTTAAAAATGTGTAAGGTCATTGTAGAAATGTATAAACGGAATCATTAGGAGCGAATTAAGCGATTTCCGTTTCCGACCAACCAAGTTTATAACCTGCATGTAGTAATCAATAAATTTTAGATTTCTGTCATCACTGCAACAATCTGCCATCACTAGCGCAGGTAATACGGTGTGGTCAGCACTGCAGCAATCTGCCATCACTTACGCAGGTAATACAGGGTGGTATACCAAACTGGCCAGTGACGTCTCTGTAATGGAGACTGAATTAATTACTTTTACTTTCCGGGTATTAAACAGTAATAAAGAAAAAATGTGTTAATCATTCTTTTTATACTTCAAAGAATATGACATACTAAAATATAATGTTATCTTATATTAAATCGAGATATTCAAACGAAGTTTTCATCACGTATTTATATGGCATATTTCTTTATTAAAAAGAATTAATTATGAAGATCGATTAGAAAGAATTGGATCAGGCTTTTTCTATTTGAAAGACCCTGATTAGATGTTCAATTTTATTTACACAATTTCCTATCAATTAGAAGGACTATATTAAATGCCAATTGTCCATTTGGCGTGATACCAGAGAAACATTGACAATTTTCACATAATAAGTTTTAAGGTCAGCTTAACTTTTAAAAGCTTAACTTATATAAAACATTTTATAAGTCAAATAAACTATCGACAATGACGACGACGACGATGAAGATGATGAAATGATGATGATGATCATGACGATGATGATGATGACGACGACGACGATGATTAGGATGATGATGATGACTTTATGATTTGTAAATGCGTTACAATAATGCGTTTTTTGTTTTAAAACCATATAAAGTGTCTACTTTCACTGCCTTGTGTGTCACAGTTTTATTGTAAACTGGTCCCTTACCGTCTGGGTCTATATAACTACATGTTATTTTGCTTCAGGAGAATTAAACGTAGAAAAATCAAGATCTTGACCGGGCTTAATTATTTGTGATAAAATTAATGTATTTGTCCGATCACAAATCATCTTAGTTATGCCTGTAGAAGTATTTAAAGATTTACGTACACTCAGTTGCAAAAGAAAGTGTGCATTAGGTTACTTGGAAATTCTGTATACATACATGAGTAAGATACATGTAGTGGCAAATTTGAACTGAAAATTTGCAGGGATGTATACTGACCATACAATGGTTTAATTTATATTTAAAGTTGATAATTATCAGAAGTTTTGTTTCGTGAAAAAAGTTAAAGTGTCAAAAGTAAATGTTGCAAAATTGTGATTTTTAACCTTTTTTCTGTGCGTGTGTGTCTCGTTTAGGTGACCGTTCATCAGTATCTGTTGCATTCATCTCACCTATTGATCAACGAACGAGACTACGTCGACTTTACGTAACGCAATATGTGATGTTTCATTATCAAAAAACTTTTACTTTTTTTATCCCTCAGGTGTTTACACGTGCGATAATCAAATTTCTGTTAATGTAAATCATCGTGTAGTCAAAATATTTCTGAAATTTTTTATACCGAGTATGCCAATATTTTGCTTAAATAAGTATTATACAAAATTTCCCTGTCAACAATTGCATTTCTTTTGCAACCCGGTATAGTCTCTGGTACGGTCATGGAGTTTAGGATGATTGTTTTAGGTTTTATTTTCTGTACGATACTAATTCTCGTGTTATTTGGCAATATTGTTCCGATAGGCCAATACTCTTTTAAGTTTTTGGTTTCTGTCTTAGCTAGTTGGTTTTTTATTTATATTTTTTTTGTTAATTAAGAAAAGGTGCGTATCACTGGACACTGCCCAAGGGAGACACAGTACACAATTTGCTTGTTCGACATTTTACCATCAAATTAATAACAACAGTCTGGGGTCTACCCTGGATTAATTTAGAGGTCCAAATAAACCAATATAGTGATTTTATGAAGATGTTTATACGAGGTCCTTTCTTAATTAAATGCTTATGTTTGATCATCGACCATTTCATTACTATGCATTGTACTCCTTTCTAATAGTTTCTGTATAATAAACATAATAAACATAAAAAGAAAGTTATAATCACGTCTGATGTGTTATTTATATTTCTTTTAGTATTGACTGCTAACAATTCAAAGGTCACGCGGAATATAAACCATACAAGTAGTCTACAAAAATGAAGATGGCCAGTAATAAAACTCGCTTTCGGTGTCCCCTTACCTCGTTAAAACTTGTAAGTTATAATTACAAACATTAAAGCCACACAAGCAGAGTCACATGCATTTAAACGTGCGAATGATCTATTTTGGTATACAAATAAGTATCATTCTTAGTTCAGGTGACCAATTTCATCATTTAGGATGAAGGTGAAGGTCGAACTTCATGACACACCCCCAAAATTAAAGCATCTGGTTGGTTCTAGCAGACACACCTCTAATGAAGTTTATGCTGGAGTTTGGGACACCCCCCCAATGTTTTCGTGCGTGCTTATTTCTCGTTAAATTCCTTAATTGTTGTTTATCCTCTGGTTGACAATCCGATTAGGAGATAGTAAAACAAAGTTTTCTTTAAGTCTCAAAAGATTACTATCATTGTTCTCGTCTTGTCTTTTCAAAATGTTTACTGTGGATATACGATACTATAAATAACAACTGTGCGAATAGTAATCGCGTGCTCTAGATCATTCGGTTTCTCTCTTTAGGTCAACCAGTTGTTGACCTTTCACTTATGCTACAGCCCCAAAAACTTCCACTGCATGCGTGACTTTAAGGTGCATTTTCTTGTGAAGGTCACATGACGGTTGTTTTAATTTTTTTAAATAATGTTTATCCCACAATTACACAATACATGATAATTGTTCAACCTCGGTTGGTCGAACTACCGATCTCTCGAACAGATTTGCACAGACCCTCCGAGTTCGAGCAAATGAAGTAGTAACAATTACCTATTATATCTTGGAATTGATAATTTTAAAGAATTTGTATCAGTGGTCATTATGAACTGAATATTTCAAAAATTAAGCTTGGTGCACGTGCCAGTCGTCTGCTGCGACTTCCATCAGGAAGAGGTGAACGCCTGATCGCACAAGTGATGTTTTCAATTTTTCAGACTGTCTCTAAACTAGTTCACTAAAACTGCGCACATTTAAACAAAAATATTTTGTTTACTTAAGTAACTTTAGCAATTCTTTTTAGGGCATAAGTTAAAATAAAAACATACCAAAGCCATAGAAATTTGTAATCACATAATCGGATCTTTTAAAGAAGCGACAGTCACGCGAGGGTGAAGGACGAGGTACACACCCCCAACGATGATTGGTTGGAATTAGAGTCACGGAGACACACCTCCAAAAACTTTAAATGACCAATTTATTTTACAATTAATTTCCTTCTTCGCTACTTTTTTTTAAATGTTTTTTTTTTAATCTAAACTAAACCTATGCCAATACCAAAAGCAATTAGAAATACCTCCTGCAATCAAAAAGGCTAAAGATAAGATAATTAACAAACATGACTTCAAAAAGTTCAAACACACAGAATTTGTCTGGTTAAGTAACGCCAACAACACTCACTGTGTAGAGGTAGCTGGTTGAATTTAATTTCAATATATCTCGATAATTGTTTCAGCCCTTAAGTATTTGTTTGTTGTCCTTAAAGACATGACACTTTAAATGAATGAGTTATACTCCTAACCAGGAATAAGTGCCCAATAACTAAGAGAGTGCTGATTCTACTAATTGCATCGCTATTGTGGCTTTTCACAAAAAAGCCTGACTCTGCTGTTACACAGCGCACTAAATTTTTAGCTGAACTTCCACTGGGTGACTATCGTATACGCACATCACTCTCGGTTGTGACTTTTGTTTCCAATGGATGGTCAACTACGCTACGCTGAAGCGTTCCTAATTGTCAGTTGTGTTTTCATTGGATGACACCTCGCTCTAGATTGTGAGTTCAGCTTCCACTGAATGACCATGTACGCACATGCGCTGTGAGCTGTGTCATTGTATTTCCTCTTGTTGGCCGCCCTCTACGCGCAGTGACATAAGATTTCAATTCTTAATGCTGCTATAACTCAATAGTTTTCCCTCACTATGAGCATCGAACGTAAAAATTCATGCCGTAAAATGTGAGTAATACCAATTAATGATGTTTCATAATTAACCATTAACAACTTCCAAAGCATGCCTGAATTTCATACATATGCATATCAAAAGAATTCTAACTTGATATGTTAGATGAATAACATCTTAGTTTGACTACATGTATTTTTGAAGGAATCTCTTAATTTAAAGACCTTGATAATGGAAATGGAAAGTCTATGTGGAAGAGGTTTGATCTTTATAATTTTATAACTTTATAAATTTGAACATACTATGCCTTCTTGTGTAGATTTGTAATATATTGTTATTACAGGTATTTTTTTCTAAAAATTATTTTTAAGCGCCTTATATAGATACAATGAAATGCTATACATTGCAGACACCAATAGTGTGAAATATATACATGTAGTTCAGCCATCGGTTTAATAGCGAATTCCCCGTACCACATTATCCACATAGTGAAAAGTTGTTATACATGTATGCTTCTGTCACATAAACACGCCCACATTTACTTTGGGCTGTACATAATTTGCATAAAGGGCAACGTGTATAAAAACGGATCGCGGGGACATCATCGTAATTAGATTCCTACTGAGTTTCGGTGCATTTAGAAAAAGTTTAATTTTTTTTGTGAAATTGAACGTGCGCAGTCCGCGAAAAATAAATCATGACTGATATCATAGAAGACATGAAGATGGTGAATCTTAACCGCAGAGGATCGTTGGGTACCTGGAGACAACTGGGCGTCGTTGGTGTCCCAGTCAGTAAGGGCCAGGTAGGAATTTTAACTTGTGTTTTGTTTTAATTTTCTTTGTTGATTTTTAACCTATTCTTTTTTTTTAAATACAATTACAATTTTCAAGACAAATTTCAAATTATTTTGACAAAACAAATTAAAACCATTTGATAGTGTTGATCATTTGTTACAAATCACAAGGATGTATTTGATATACCAGTTAACTTTGTTTTATTGATGTGATTCTATTTAGGGCTATTTAAGAGGAGTCATTTTTCAAATCGCCTTTTTACCATTCGTTTTCTAAACGACTAATCTCTTTTTAATTATTTGTGTGTTTGTTTTTTTAAATATTTTTTTATTTATTTGTTTTTTAGAATAAACATATTTATCTTTGTTAATATTTTTCAAGATTGTTGTCGAAACTATTCAAACTTTTATTTGTTTTGAATCAGAAATAGGCGTTTTTCAAAATCGAATGATTTTTACTTGTATATCACCAGACCTTATGACTTAAGCAACATTTAACAATTTCATTTGCGAAAAAAATATTTATTTATCTATTTATTTGCATCGAATATAAATTGTTAGTAAAACATTGTGATGGTCTGAATTGTAGAATTATGGATTAACGTACAGATAAGATTAAGATATCTAACTTATAAAGATAGATTATTTTTCATAACTGCTTTCGGCCGGTAAACACTGGAAATTCTGGTAAATAAATGAAAAAAAATCGCTAAGATAATGTTTTGCCAAGAGCTTATTTCCGACTAAAGGATTAAAATCGTCGAAATGGCTTTGAACTATACGGTGTCTTTATCGTGCCAATTGCACAATGCGAAGAGACGAAGTATTTGGTACTCTGATATACGTCACTTGTAAATATGCTTTAGTTATTTTAAAAGAAATATATCTTGATTTTGAATGCTCTGTGAGTGATTAATTACAAACATCTGAACGACACAAAACATAATTTAAAATTATTCATTTTGCCATTCGATATTATTTTGGTCTTGCAATTATAATTTACTACAGAACCGAAGGAATTCAAAAGTGAAAATATTTAACTATTGTCACCCGTAGCTTCGCATGGTCGCGATACGACTTCGCACTGTCGCGTCTTTTGACATTAATTAAAGAGCGACGTGCGACATTGTAAATGACACGATGAGGACACCGTATTTAATTGATCAATTGAGGTGTTTGTTTAAATATTTTATTTTTTTCTTTATTATAGAGGATAAACTGTTTTGTTTAAAAAACATATTAGTTGTAATCTTTTCAATAACATAATAAATTACATAATCACAAATTTTACGGAAGTTAAAAAAGCTCTCCTTTTTTACTTTTTTTATATACAAAAAAAACACACTTTCTCCGTATCATAAACTGTTAAACTGTGTTTCTACCTTCTAACATCATCCATTAATTTGGTTCACACGAACGCTGCTGGATTAAAAAAAAAGAAATACAGAAATACATAAAACATCAATAAAGAATATAAAATAAATACGAAAATGATTTAATGGTATAGGAAGAAAAAAGAAATAAAAATTTCTTGAATTCTGTGATGAGGAAAATTATTTACCACTTGTGTGCGGTTATTTAATTATTTTATCATTATATTTATTATTATTGTTGTGCTTGTTGTTGTTGTTGTTGATGATGATGATGATGATGATGATGATGATGATGATGTTTTTTTCTAAACATAATACAATTCTTTATTACAGAGAAAAGATGGGACAGAGAAAGGACCAGATGCTTTACGTGGAGCTGGGTTGGTAGAAAGGCTAAAATCAATTGGATGTGAAGTCACAGATCATGGCGACATTGACTTTTATCCTTTAGACATTGATCCACACCATGACAATGTCAAAAATCCCAGAAATGTCGCACAAGGAACACTCGCGGTAAGTTATTTTTATGTTGTTGGTTATCGTGCGGGTAGTTTCAGTTATCAAATAATTTACTGAAAGCACAATGTCAGAATTTTAATTGACACTAAACTGAAACTTTTACATTGTATTTATTTTTAAAAGTGTTATACAGAAATGCTATCTCGTGTCATTTCCTAATACTAGTATCTAATAAAACAAATAGCAGTCATTTATCAAATGCATATTTTATGCCAGCTTTTGAGCTTTTTAAAAAAAAAAAACTTTATCGAACTCAACTTTTGACCGGTAAGGTAAGCTTTGCATTAATTATCAATGTATGAAGGGATAAGTTTTGGACAAAGATTTTCTTTTCTTGCAAACAAGCATATTGTACTCTGTTAAATATGGACTTTGCTAATAAACTTGATGTGGAAATTGCCAACATGCGGAAATTGCTCTGTTCAAAGAATGATCTAATGAGATATTTTTTACATTTTTGTAGACTGCAGACAAAGTGGAACACGTGCTACGTACAGAGGGACATTGTCTTGCCATAGGTGGTGACCATAGCATGGCCATTGGTACAATCATGGGGCATGCGCGAGTTGACCCGGATGTGGCTGTGTTGTGGATTGATGCGCACGCTGATATTAACACACCATTGACATCCGACAGCGGAAATATTCATGGCATGCCCTTGTCCTTTCTTGCAAGGGAGCTTGACCCATATGTACCGCACATGCCTGGTTGGGAAGATATCCAAGCATGGTAAAGTATTTAATTATAAAATTCTATATTAAAACTATGAGATGAATTGAAAAATACTAGTTTAAGAACGTGCGACTTTTTTCTCAGAATTTTGTATCATTTCGGCCATTTCAAATGACAGCGAACTATTAAGTATAGAATATTTAAGCATAAGAAAGAATAAAAGTTGGGACAAAAAGGAGAGAGTTCATTTGCATTCTTTTTTCTAAGTACACATGTCAATACATGCATTGTAAAACACATGTCATTCTTTTCTTCCAGCATTGACTGTGACCAGATTGCTTGGATTGGTCTTCGTGATGTAGATCCTGGTGAAAGGTACACCAAACTTAAAGTACTTCTTTCTTTTTAAGTCTTCTTTGAAAATATTAATGCGCGATTTAGGAAAAAAGTAGATCCGATGCCAAAAAAAGTTTCGCAATGATAAAGTAATGTGTTTTTTATAGATATCATAAATTTGAATTTTAACTTCATGATTGTAACTGCCTGGATTTTTTTAAATCAAGTATGTAACTAAAGTGTAGTAGTTTAATCTATATTTAACTTCTCTTACATTCGCAGTAAAATCATTGACGAGTTTGGGCTGAATGCATTCAGTATGCAGGAAGTAGACAAACATGGGATAAGAGAGGTTCTTGACAGGGCCTTAAAGGCCATTGACCCACAGTATGTATATACATATTGTATTTCGTAATTTACTTTATTTGACGAAATTTCTTTGTTATATAATGATATGAACTATTATGCTTTATAATATAATTATCAGAAAAACCTTAGAGTGTCTACGTACAATATTTAACTATGGACCGATTATTAATATAACTCAATATCAATATTAATATAAAGACAAATACAAAGGACGTTTGCAAAGAGCTAGTCAATTTAGTTTTAATTTGACCCGATATTTTCAGCGGCAACAAGAAAATCCACGTGAGTTTTGACGTTGACGCTATGGACCCTGCCCACACACCAAGCACTGGTACCCCAGTAGCCGGTGGTCTGTCTGTCAGAGAAATATCCTATATTGCAGAAGAGATTGCTAATACAGGTACATACATGTATACAGTTTTAAACTTTCTAACAATTTCACTTCTTTTGTATGTTGCCCTTTTAAATGTGTGTCTATTTTTGACCATGCAGATTGAGGTTTGAACACTAGTAATGTATGTGCTTATAGCACTCATTCAAGACCGAAAATTGCCAATAAACTTTTTCATAGTCTTTTATATTGTAGAAAAAAACAACGCTTTTATTATCATGACATAGAACTATTGTTGTTTAGTATCAAATCCTATTTATATACCTGACAGGCAGTTGTACATGTAAACCGTTGTTTGTATAAGTATGTTTTATTTTTTTTATAAACATTTCAGGCCGGTTATCAATGGTTGATGTAGCAGAAGTTAACCCAAACATCGGTTCATCAGCAGACGTAAGCCAAACATTGAAATCAACTATTGATGTTGTCGCACGTTTCTATGGCAACCGTCGACGCGGAAGCTACAAACCAGACTATTCTATTCCGGAAGTGCCTGTAAATATTCGAAGAAGCTCTATTCACGCGCTTTCTAACGCGGCTATTGAAAAGTTTGCGAGTTAAAATGCACGCATATGCATGTGACATTGAAGAACTTTTATTGTTTTTATTATGAACTACAAGTTTTACTTAATTAATATCCAATGGAACATTGAAAAAAAACTTTCAAGTAACTTTGCTATATGTGTACAGTGTTGCTTTTTCATATATACCATCGTAAACCACAAATAACATATCTTAATTTTAAATGTGGCTTTATGACAGTAATATATGTAAAAATGGGTTTTATCTGGACTCGTTTGAATATTTGGGATATGTTTGACTTCATCACTTTAACCTTTACATTAGATAAGTCAAATAATTGCGATAACCATGTACATGTACATAGTCTGTAAATTTCCATATCTACATTTTTCGTTATTGTTCATTCATGTATTTTTCATTCCATATATATGTGTTGTTATTTTGAAAATATATGTTTTAATGCTCATTACGAATAAAACTGTAATAAAATATATAACTTTTTAAACATTTGTTATGAAATTAAATAGTTGCAATAAATATTAAAATACAACTGGCTTGTTTTGATGTATGTTAGGTCTCAAACGATTTAAGACACTGTCAAGATTTGGAGATGGACAAGTCCATAATTATTTATCATGGTAAGCTTGCTTAGACACTTTTGATAGATTGAGTCAAAGATTTGCGGAGTCAGATGTGTCAGCAAGCGGTCGTCAGTGCATCATGTCCATTGTACAGAAAAAAGTCAGACAAAATCACACACTTTGGGCTAGGGTTGTGGTTAGACCCTGTCAATGCTTTACTTTATTAAATTAAAACTATTTTGTTAATGAGAATAATATTTTTCTGTGAAAAAACATGATTGGGAAAATCGCCACATTCGCGTTAAAATGTTTTGTTGACAGTTTACTGAGGTGGTTCACGCCGAGGTTGGGTGTGATCCAAAGTGTCTGTGATAAAGCCTGGTTGGACTGCACGGATTTGAGGGTTGGCCTGACAATACAGGAGGCAAGGGCAAACCATTTTCACAATGCCGCCCGTCAGTAGGTATCAACTCAGATTTTGTTAATCTGATAATGCAGTAATCTATATTACGGAAAATGGACTGTCCAACCGAGATAACCGTTCGTGCCGCCAACGATGGTCTGAATGAAACGAGGATATCAACCTTAAGAAAGATTGATATTTTTTTAAGACCATTAAAATCATTATTGGTTAAGTGAAATGTTCAAGTTTATTGCAAAAGCTAAGAAGTCAAAATTCCGTGAACAATGAGATTTTATAAAGCATAATTAAATAATGTAAGTAATATGCATTTCTTTTTTTATTTAAACGTGTAATTACATAACAAATCGTAAAACAGATTGACAAGATCAATGAAAGTAATAAATTATAAAATAAATTTCATATAGCTCCTCACGAGTAAATTTATTGTTTTTTTTTAAACCATTTTGGTTCTTTAAGAGATGCCGGTGTAGGCTATTTTATCTCTTTCTGATCATTTCGAAAACATTTTCACCTTTGAGGGTACTTTCTTCAGCATTGTCTGTACTGTATTATTACCACAAAACCTCGCAACTTTTTCATCAAGTTGTTCTCTAATATTTTTCTCAAAATTAATTCTTCTTTCCACTAAATATTTGTAGATTTGCTCTCTTTCTTTCAGTTCATCTTCATCAAAATATTTTACTTGCCTCGTTTGAGATCCTAGTCGACCGTCATGTATATAAGATTCTAAACTTGTCCCTTTCCTCATAATCTCCATTGCTGTTTTTGGTCTGAGATCAATTTTACTCCTCTGCTGATCAATCATAAACAAACTGTCTGCTTCAATATCCGATTCTGAATCACTCTCGCAGCCGCCATCTTTGGTAGTGTGTTTCTTACGACGTGAAGTTCTCCCAGATGACACCGCCCGGCTAACAGCTGAGCGTCCGCTTGGCTTGCTTCTTGGCGTTTGTATGTATTGTCCGACAATTAATTCGTCGATTGGGTCATTTTGGTAACCTTCGCGGCCGCGAAATATTTGACGTTGTTTGTCTCGGTATTTTCTCAACCTTTTCTTCATTTGTGTTTGAGACTTTCCGAGTTCAATCGCCGCCGAATATTTGAGTAAATTCATAGAGTTAATTCTCATTTCATATATCCTTTGTTCAATAATGTTGGCTCTTTTAGAAGCCCGATCAATATCTGCCTCGTCCATTTCTCTTTTACTGAAAGAGAACAAAATTTATGAACTAATGTTTGTAAGTCATAAATATAAATGTTAAATGGATGTCGAACAATATAAAGTGTATTGTTACATATCTTGGGCAACATAAGAAAATAGCCAAAGGCTTTATATATAAACAACACTATAAAGTATGCCGTATTATTAAAAAATAACAGAATGACAAAAAGATTGCCTTGCCAAAGTCTTTATCATTTCTTACTCCTTTCTCTAGATTTAATTGGTAGCCAATCTTCTTTTACAGTCAAAATAAATCAAAATCAAATTTTCTATTTATGATTTAGAACGTGATCCAAAGGTATGTTAGGAGCATAATTAAAGGGTTTTGAAGTCAGCTGATAAAATTTTGAAGTTTTTTTCTAAAGAATATGTTAAAACTAATTGTCAAAGTAAGTCATTGCCAAGTGACAATTCGAGTGACCGTTGCTGTTTTTTTTTCTGGGCTGTATGAATTTTTATATACGACCAGGGATGGGAGCGCACACCCCTAGCCACTACCAGTTTTACTTGACGATAGACTTCTCGATATTTTACATGTTTCATGACAGGGTATTCCCTAAAGAATTTTACTGAACTTAGACAATCTTTTTACAACCAAGCTAAAACAAAAATCATAAACAAATTGCCCCACCTGCTGATTATCAATGTTAAATTGTCCTGGTCTTATTTTGCGTGAATATTTAATACAACTTAAACCTAGAGATTATTTTTTCAGAAAAAGCAACGATAACATTTCAAACACATGAACTGCTAAAATGTATCAAATCCACGAAAAATGAAACAGTTATATAACCATATTCATTAATTAAATATCACATTCTTTCGTGCTAATATATTTATTGTATATATGTTTGTTTATCTTAGATAAAATATTTTTCGATCTTACCTTAGAGATATTACATAAAACTGCAAAATCACAGAGATAAATCTCGAAAAAATTATATCCCTTTTCAACCAATGTAATAAAACTGATATATTAGAAACTGTAATGTGGATATTGGAATGAAAACTTGATATCTTAATAACGGTAATTATACTATAAGATGACTCCTTATCTATACCCGAGACATAATATAAAAAAGCTGGTAATAAAAATGATTTATAATTTCAATACCCTTTGATAGGTTAATTTTACAATAAAACTTTTATTATGTGAAAATGTTTAATGTACACGAAACCTATTTGGCTATTATATAAAATACATGGTTTGTATTTAATCAGGTGGACCCCTGGACTATTGCATTGAAAACAGTTATTCACGATTATTATATAAGAAAAAATATATTTTGAAATTATGCAATACTGTATTGATATATACAAACATAATATTTCAATAAACAATTCAAGAAAAATCCTTGTCAAATAACCAAGATGTTAAAGTTTAAACATACATTGATTGAAAACTAAGTTTTAATGTTTGGTTAATTTGTAGTTGAAGTATATAGATATTATCTTATTCAGCTGCATACAGTATATAGACATGCTGCGCCTTTTATTCGGACACCTATCTAATCAAAGTACTTAAAGTACTAATTGAAGGGGATTTTGTATTCTGCCAGACTACTTTTTAACAATGGACTTTAAAAGCTATCGTATTTTTATTTCTTTATTAATTATGACACAGAAAATAAATACTTAAAGCTCATCATGCTACGATATTGTACTTCTTAATCTTCTGACCAGCAACAATATTTCATTTGTTGCCTAAATTGTTTGTCACAGGTTCTCTCCGTGCATAACTGAATCAACACATGCGACCAGGGCAGACCAAGATCATTATGCATGTACTTACTTAAAATGTTCTCTAAAATGACAAATGGTTTTGTCAAGATTAAAAGATGGACACCTTCGTTTATATAATTAACATATTTAACTTGGTAAAGTTTAATGACAAGCCCACTGTTTATTTATGGGGAAGAAGTGTATACATGTATATATGAAATTTTAAATAGAAGACTAAACACTCGAACACAGTTTATCATCATTTATTTTCATAAAATAATAAGATCAATGTAAAAATCAAAACATGAAATATTTACAGTACGTATTCGATAATATTTGATTGCCTTAACTAAAGTTTGCTAAAAATAGAAAAACATGTAAATTTCTATGAGACATGAAGCATAGGAAAAACATAAATTAAATCAAGTACATGTGGAGTACAAACCAAAATATGAAGGTTTCCAAGAAGGGAAGAGCTAACCATAACTGTCCCTTGTCCATAAAAAATCTGGTCATAATTTGTTAATTCATTTTAAATTTTCCCTAGTAGATGCTACATAGAACATGGATAGACATCTTTCCAAGGTATATACAAACAGGTTATAGATAACAATAAATGCAGTTATAAGGTAATAGTTGTGACATTACTTACATTATTTGAGTATAAAACTGTACTTGGCAATGCATAAATACTGTCATAAACTTTCACATATATGTATTTTCATGTGATTTTGCTCAACAAAAAAAGTAGAAGTATGACAAATTTTCAAGAGCACACCTCTCTCGTACATTTATTAAAATCAAATGTGAAAAAAGGAATGTATAAATGCATGATACATTTCATTTTCCACCCTACCCACTAATAACATTATATTATGTGCAATCGTTGTGCTAAAGTGTATATCTCCCTAATTAAAGTGAAATTATTCTCATATTTTCATCGTTAAGTTAAGCTGAATTGACTATATATAGACACGAAAAGGGCAAAAAACATTTTCTGTTTTGGCTTGACATTTTTTTCCTTGAAACCAGTTTCTATTCAGCGTACTTTGATAAAACAATACAACTAATGCTATTAAAAGATAAATTGGATTCCAGATACCACAGCACCAAATACAAAGTATGTAAACAGTAAAGTATTAAAAGACAAACTTTAAACTTTGTTAAAAAATAGTCAGTTAACAAATATGTATAAAAGTAAGTAAAATCCATAAGAAAATCTCCTCATGTAAAAAGTATCTACCTTTTAAGTAGAAGATAACTTATCAGTACAAAACAACAAGAATTAAATAAATTATACACCCACTGTCACACACACTTTAACAAAAATAGTAAATTTAGTAAATAAGTTATTTGGAAAGGATTTAAAAGATTTTTTTTTCATTTGACACATTACATAATGAAAAGATAAAATAATGTTTTAAGTCTATCCACTGAAGTAAATAGACTTTACTAAGCACTATTGTATCCTCTAAGATCCATACAAAGTTGTCAAAGGCTTGAAGAAAAAAAATTAACAGAAAAGGTACAAAAGATTTTTTATGCTTACTCTTACATGAAGCAGTTATAAAATTTGTCTATGCCAACTTTATAGAGCAGACAGAATCTTTTTATTCCTATCATACTGAATGTTGTAGATTACATAATACCGAAATCCCTGAAAACTTACTATGGACTTTTCCAAATTTAAAATGAGACAAGTTCATTACGTAAATCAGGTGAGCAAGTGGTAATATATTTAAAATAAACTTTTGAGGAAAAAGTTGTTCTAAAGGTGTAATCATGTATAACAATAACAACATGGAGTTACATTACAAAAGAAATGAAACTCTTACATGTTGCTATAAAGAGAATAAAAATAATATTTATAAAATCTTATTGCAAGATTCACTAGAATGAAAAGTGACGTGAAAATCATTTTCTTCAGAAATATTGACACATTGCTTTTGTTTTTAATTTTGTTTTAAACAAAATTTTAACTTAACTGTATTTTGGAACACCTTAATCAAGGGAGAGAAGAAGCTAAACATAATCTTCCACTGTTAGTGTTAACACTGGCCACTGCAAATAAATTCAGTTTAAATCAGTAACAAATATATACAATCACATGTACATGTATTTCAGGAAATAAATACAGTTTTGCAATCATTCCCCCAGACCCTTTGATAAATCATGGACAGGAACTTTTTTTTGGACTAATGCCAATGTATAATTACTTTACAAATCAAATGCATTAAAACATGCAAATAAGGAATGGATATAAATTTTGCCCTATATTTTTAGTGTTACAATTAGTAAAATAATTTAATATTTAGTTTAATGCCCCACATATTAAATACAATTGCAAAACTGGCAAAAAAATACTGGCAATATAGCAGCACATTTTTAGCTTTAGGAGTATCAAAGCAATTAAAAATACAACTCAGATACCCTGGTTACATCATAAATATACCAACCTTTGTGACAGATAAAATTCCATTTCATCTCTTTGATCCTTTAAAACATTTGACAAGGCCATTCTTCAAAAAGATGTTGGGTTTGGTGTTACATGACCCCGCGTTATTAAAATGATTACCATAGTTATACAATTTTTTTTACATTGAAAAAATAACTTAAATGAGTTTTTTTTACCTGTCAATCATTGCCAAAAGTTAAATGAATCTTGGGCTTTGAGTGAATGAATTAATTAACTACCGAGTTACAAACCAACAATTTTTTTAATGTGGCCTAATGAAGAATTGTCATGTGAAAGGCACAAACATTTACAGTTTTTTGTCATAAAAATCACATAATTATAAACACCGTTTTTGTTCATATTTTTGTTTTTGAATATTAATCTTTTTACAATAGAGATCAATAACAAATTTATTTCAAGCACTCTTCTAGTACATTAGCAGCTTTGATAGTACACGTGAATTCTATTTTGATACAAAAATAAAATCTCCACATATGTATCCCAATTTGCTCAAGTTCGGATCTACTGGTATGCAGTTTATCTATTACTCAGGGTCATAAGCTAGTACACTGTTACACCACCGTTCTATGTCCGATACACTCATTTGTTTACGTGCGGCATAACTCTGTACTTGGTCTTTGTTTATTTTGCCGGTGGCAAAGTATGTACTGTGTTTGTTTGCGAAATATAGACCTGAGACGGACGCAGCTGGCTCCATTGCCAGTGATTCTGTTAGTGTTATACCTACACTATCTGCATCCATTAGTTTCCACATAATTTCTTTCTCCGTGTGATCTGGTTGACTAGGATACCCAGGCGCTGGTCTTATACCCTGTAATATGTGCGAAAAAGTTTTTTACCCTTCCATCAAACAAAAGCTAAACTATTTAGGTTTTAGAAATATTAAAACTTGAACAAATTCATTAAAGCTTATAGACTTATACAATATGTCAGCTAACCCTAGACTTAACTTCTTGGACAAATTCATAACAAAATTATCATTAATATGGCTATAATATTAGAGACAAAACACTTTTTTACTCTTAGTACCAAATAAAAAGTATACCACACAAACATGTGTAAAATTAGACTTGACATGTCTACAACATCTTTTTCATCATCATTATTTTGGAAAAATAAATCAAATTCAATTTCATATAGATGTACTTGTATCATAGTTTGTGGCCTTTCTTTTGAAAATGTGTCCGAGCAAAAAATGTAAACCTATAAATGCACAGTGCTTGAGCTGGAGTACAGGTATTAGTTAGCCGCAAACCGGTTACAGCACTGTCTGTCGGGATAGGTTGATTGGCTACATTTTTTTCTGGGGTTCACTTATTGTGACAACAGGGAAGGGGCAATAATACAAGTCATATTCAGACACTCATTTATTGGTTAAATTGGAGTTTCATATTGTTACAACAGGGAAAGGGTTTTTAATTTTGCTAATGACACAAAAGAGAAATAATATGCTCCCTATGCTCTTTCTATAACATATATATACTATATGGTGAAGAAAGACACTATGTATACTTCAGTGCAATTTATCAAATGGTTACTTGGGCAAACAATTGACCTTCCTAATGCTATATGATAGGTATCTCATCTGATAAAATTCAATAATCCCAGCAGACTTTGATACTCTACCAATCTTAACATTATCCAGTTTTTTGTTTTTTTTTACACAAATGACATTAAGATGTATTACTTTGTTTGTTTGGTTTTACGGCACACCAACACAATTTTGGTCATATGGCGCCAAAACAAGAAAGATGATTTTGGCTTACCAAGGGGGTTTCAAACTTATCAAAACCTCCTCACCTACTAGAGCTAAAAGATGTATAGACTCCAGTAATTCGAACCCATTTAGTTGCCTTTTACGATCATGCAGGGATTAACAGTGGCTGTAATTCTGATGCTTCAGCCCTTAAAGGTAACCCCTCAAATCGGAAAGGGGAAGATGTATTACTAAAATTGCTATATTTTGACAGTAACATTTCAAAAGGGTTTTTTAGAAAGTAAGGTTGCACAACAAATAAGACAAAAACCTGACAATCACCTGATATTTGATTTTATGTAGACCTGCAGCATCTAAAGCTTCCTCCGATACATAGCCCCACAGCTCTTTCCTAACTCTCTCATGTAACTCTTCAGCAAAAGCCTACAACGATAAAAGTTTGAAACATTTTTGCCGCTTCAAATGCGCACTTATACATTAACATTACTTACCCTTCTGGAACTGAAAGTGATAAACCTTTGTCACCAGTGTAGAGCCAGGCCAGCCGGCACAACCATGCAGTCTTACCAGGTTCTATACTGTTGGTAGCTCAATTTTTATATCAAAATCTCTTAAAATTTCAATGGACTGTTTCAAATTCAAACCTGGGCAAATCCATTATACAAATTCATGCAGAAATAGCAAGTCTAACAACAATGGAACTAGTAGAAACTGCACACTGTGCAGCCTAGCCAGAAGTTTAGTTGCTCAGTATTATATTAAGATAATGAATCCTTTAAATTGTGCATTTTTAAAATTTGTTCACAACTGCATATCTATCTAAGTCTGTTCTCCGATACTAAACACAGGACATACCACACAACTCTTACATCTTTATGTTATTAACAATACAAATTAAAAGCATAGGCTTTGACTGAAAACACTACAGTGTTAAATAGGTGGAGGCAGATTCTAGCCACTTTATAAGTTAAACTTCACACCACAAAATCATATATAATCCTATAATACATTGTACTTTAAAAGAAATCATAGTTTCCTTCATTTTTAGACAAAACAACAGATTGATATTGGATATATTTACGTTTTAATAGACACATCAGATTATTTAACATAAGATATAAGTATCGTCACGACCATACCCTTGACTTACAAATCATAAATTAATAATTTTTGACTTACATAATCATAAATTAATAATTTTATCAATAGCACCAGATATCTTTTCATGTTCATATCATAATAATAAATTATAACTCATTGACAGGAACACAAACAGGTAACATATAAAATCTTACCTCTGCCAGTCTGTCTGCTAATGCTTTCACCATAATAATACTGTAATCATCATACTGACTCTCAAACCTGACAATATCATAGATATTTTGTCATATCATTACCCAATAAAGCAAATTTCCACTACTGATAATGGTAATACTTTTATTATGAAATAGATATAAATTATGAGTGCATTGTTGTAGAATAATGCACAGTTTGAGTCCAAGAACATAATCACAAAGGCGTATGAGAGTGATTGATCACAAAGCATTTGAATGATAGACCATGTATTATAACAATACAATGCATGAAAAATAAATATCTATTTCTATATTTTAACATGTTGATAAAAAAGAGAATCAATAAAAATATGTTAAAATTACATTACATACTAGATGGTATAACACAATGTGCTCAGGTTCTCAAAGCAATCTCTAATAATAATAATATGTTAAAATGTTACATGGAATCAAGCAGAATTTATAACATTTAGAAAATTGTCAAATAAAACACAATTCAAGACAAAAAAAAACAACTTAAAACATAATAATATGTCAATTTCTGTTATTAATTTTGAGCTCCACTGATGTGTTCACTAGTTCATAACATTACAATAATAAATCCAACATACTTCTTGCACATTTTGTCGACCCCATGGCCGGCTGTAACAGCAAACAAGCCTATATGATCCTGAAGTCCAGTCTCTTTTGGAGCAATAAAATCTGATAAACAGGCATAGGGGTCACTAGATGCGGAGTCTTTTACAGCCTGAAATATTGTAAAACATTTCCCTTTATAGCTGCATTTATCCAAATGACTAAACAAATACTAGTATTCCAAAATTCAACCCTTAAGGAAACAAAATTATGAGATTAAGAATGATATAAATATTCACAATCAATTTGAGTCTTGGCACCTTTTTTGTATGTCAAAAAAACTTGAAACTTTTAATCTCTAGAATTTTTATCTGCTTTTAATTTGGATTTATCCATTTAAAGTGTAAGAGATTTTCAAAATCAAAAATACAAATATTGAGCTATTATCGGTATATAGCCTTGCTGATCAGAGGAACAGATGTACAGGCTCGCTTGGCTCTATACTAATAATCACTTTTGATTCAAGCAGATGTACAGTAATACCTGTTGTCTAAGACCATGTAGAGTTTGGAGGTGTTCCCCGGTCTCACTGTACACTTCTATATCATCACCTACACTGCTGGCAGGGTAGAATGCCACTATACCATGAGCCTTGATACTCCCTGATTTTACTATCTCTCCCAACATTTTCTGGGCATCATCATATACCTTCTTGGCTTCAGTACCTACATGTAGAAAATTATCAATGCAATATTATTTTTATATTACTATTACTCAATGTTCAGCCATAAAAGTAAATTATGAAATGCTACTGTTCTTATAAATTTTCAAGATTACTCAAAGAATTGAAGAAAACATCAACCAAATCTAAAGCATTCTGAACACAAAACAAATGTTCGCTATAGAAATTATTGTAATAAAGTTATATCTCAAAGGGTATCATTAAACAGTTATGTGGCACAAAGGAAATTCAGGTAATTTAAGTAAGATCATTGACAAGTATTACAAGTTTCAAAGGTATACATTGTAGTAGAAAAAAGGAGGTGGTAAAATAAACTTTACTCTGAAACTGATGCCTACATGTATATGAGTAAAATAGCTTACCCTATTATCTAACTATGACAGTCAAATTAAACATGATATATACTCCTTTATCAATATAAAAATCTTACCAACAGTTTTATCCTTGAATATTTTAGGATATCCTCTATTTGGATATTTTCCTCTAAGTTGCCATACATCAAAGAATGGTTTCCAGTCTATATAGGGTATTAATTTGTTCAGGTCGTAATTCTCAAATTTCTTTACACCAATAAATGATGGAGCAACTGTAATAAAATTGTATGAGAAATATTTATATGTGCATAATGTGTTTGAATCATTTTCTAGCAGATTGTATTAAAAGCTTTGATTTAGTAACAGTCATATGATATCTGGCAAGTACGTAACAAGTTTGTTCTTTGGTGTGCAAAATTTTTGGACTGCAAATAAGGTGTTTTTCGTAAATTTGCCCTGTCCAGGCATTCATTGTTTATATAAGCTACATGAATAGTACAATTCTCACTTCTTTGGGTACAATAAAGGAGCAAAACCTTTTACATACTTTTAACAGCTTTTGGTTACTTACCAGGCACTGACTCTCCTATCCAGTCTATCTTAAACCTTTTTTCTTGAGCTTTTTCTAATGTCAAATATTTTTTGTCCTGAAACATAAATTCAGATATAACAGAATCATTTTCAAAGACTGTACATGTTATAAAATAAGAGAGATTTAAGTACAAGTAACTGATTCTGATATTGTGTCTTTAATCCTAACCCTGCTGAGCTTGTCTCCTCTTTTGACAAGCATTTATAAACAAATATCATAACAGGGTCACTAGCTGAAAATCATCATATGATAATAATGTGTCAACATCATTTAATATCTGGCCATCCTTGACTGGTTCAAAGGCCTTGAAAGTAATACAAGATGAAAGCTTCTTCTATCAAGATAAAAAGAGTTGAATAATTAAGTACATTGTATACCCCAACATTTCACTGTTATTGTCAGACCACATACAGACAAGGTCAAATCAAATATGCCCCCACCCAAGTAATGGGGGCATAAAAAGGTGAATACTTCATTTAAGTCTCTTGAGTAAAAGACCTTCATCAACATTCTTTAATAATGAGCCAAAAAACTCTATGAAATTTCAAAATTATAATGCAGTGGTAGTGATGGTAGTGATAATATAATTTTTACACTAAACCTTGGCCAAAAGTTGCATCAATGCTGAGGTGAGTAAGAGTTCTGTTATTCTTGCATTCGTTGAGATAAGAAACTAGATTTAAGATTAAAAACTCACCTTGAGAGAATCATAGTGGTCAGATCTGATTTCCTCATATTCCTCGTCTATCTCCTCTATATACTCTTCCCTATCATCCTTTCCTAGTAAGGTACTACACTAAAATACCATATATAATATACACAGAAATTACAGAAATATGCAAATGAAGTAACTTCATTCATAAAGTTAAATGCATGCTTAGTGGCGGCGTGGCCGAGTGTTTAACGCGTCGGACTAGTAATCTAAGGATTGCTGACCGCGTGGGTTCAAACCCTGTCAGGGGCAAGCCGTTGTTTCCTTAAGCAAGAAACTTTACATTCATTGCTTAGTACTGGTTTGTTCCAGGAATGGATTCGAGAGTGTTTCAATAAGCTTATAGCTTCCAACACAATCGAACTATAAACCAAATGCATGTTTTAACAACATGACGGAGTGAAGAGTAATGACTAAACTTATTGTAAGAGTATTAAACCAGTTTTATTGACCTTGATGTACTTGACGTTGAACTCATTTGTGCCAAACATTTTGTGATGTGGTTTTCTAGGTAGTTCAAAATTAGGAACAGGCCAACAAAATTTTTATTTTATCTACTAACTACTTAGAATTTCTGTCATATTCCGAGTATGATTATTTGTATATATGTCGCAAAGTTTTCATAAATTTGGCAATAGTGAAAGGCTAAAAGAGGATATACAGCTTTTTATATACAAGATAAGATGTTCAGCTTAAAATAACATAATAAACTTTATTTACCACAACAACACTTTTGGAAGCATCTAGAACATGTATAACAGGTTGTGAGTATCTTGGTGCTATCTTTACAGCAGTATGAGTCCTGAAAAAGTGAGTAGATCTTTTTTATCATATTTTTTCTTATCATATTATTCCTTATGATGATATCGTTTGAGCACTGCATGCCCATTAACATTCCTCTGCCAAAGATTCTAGATTTTTAAGGGGCATAACTCCCAAAAGTATTGCTTCCAAATTATGCCCTTTGTCTAACAACTGCACCTTGTCAGGATAAGCAAGTATTCCAAATTTCATGTTGATAACTTTTGAAATGTTTAAATAATGGGCTACATTAAAGTTTTTTCATGACAATGATGCAGCTTCTGTAATAGCTCAACTTTTTCTTCAAAACAGACAAGCTAAAAAAGACAATTTTAGCTTTTACAAATGTCAGAAACTCAAAGTATGGAAAATCCATTATCATAACATGGCAAAATATTGAGAATAACAATCAAAATTTATAAGAAAGAAATATCTTCAATCTAGCATAGAACTCTATTCCTTACATCATAAATTCATCAAATTAAAAAGTTGCTTTGTACTAGTTATTTATCTAATAAACATGTTATCATTTTTAGCTCGACTTTTTTTTTTTTTGAAAAAAAAAGTAGAGGTATTGTTATAGTCAGGTCG